ACTGACGACACCAAGCTACCCGGCGCCCGGACGACTCAGCTGAGGTGACGTCACTGATACCTAGCGTTAAGTCGCTCAGAGGCAGAGTGCCTGGGAGGCAGGGAGGATGCTGGATGGTTGGTGGCGGTAAAGGTTGGTGGTGGCAGGATGACTGGCTGGTGGTGTCTGTGTGAGTAGTTGGTGGTGGCAGAATGACTGGCTGGTGGTGGCAGGATGACTGGTTGGTGGTGGCAGAATGACTGACTGGTTGTGGCAGAATGACTGACTGGTTGGTAGTGTCTGTGTGACCGGGTGGAGATGTAACCGACAGATATGGTGACATCAGGCTAGACAGTAGGTACAAAACAAATGTTCAGAAAACTATAAACAAAATACAGTGGAAGTGTTTACCTAAAAACAAACACACTACGGTGGCGCACCAACAAGGAAAGGTTGAGTGTGGCCGCCTCCCTCACCTGCCTCGGCAACTTGTACTGACAACCTGACTGGCCGAGTGGCTTCCACTTTCTAAAAACGAGCGAATCGCTGTGTGTGTGTTTATGGCATTACAAGAATATTAAATTATTACCATTGTTGTTATATAATCCACTGTAACTTTCTGGTAAGAGTTTTAATTCAAATAACTGACTAAATGAGAGGCGTCTATATTTTATCTCTGGCAACCCTCGCTCCCACACCATGGATGTAGCTTCCTGCCATGTATATTCAGAACAAGTTTTCATTAATTTATTGAATGATGGTCAAACAAGTCGCATATACACATATGCATCGTGTATATGCATATATATTCATATACACACACACACACACATATATATATATATATATATATATATATATATATATATATATATATATATATATATATATATATATATATATATTATATATATATATATATATATATATATATATATATATATATATATATATATATATATATATATATATATATATATATATTGTCAACCATTTGACAATATTGTTAACCATTTGTCAACCATTTGACACTAAAAAAGTTCTTTCTAATATCTCTGTGGCTCATTTGGGCACTCAGTTTCCACCTGTGTCCCCTAGTGCGTGTTCCCCTTGTGTTAAATAGCCTGTCTTTATCAACCCTGTCGATTCCCTTGAGAATCTTGAATGTGGTGATCATGTCCCCCCCTAACTCTTCTGTCTTCCAGGGAAGTGAGGTTTAATTCCCGTAGTCTCTCCTCGTAGCTCATACCTCTCAGATCGGGTACTAGTCTGGTGGCAAACCTTTGAACCTTTTCCAGTTTAGTCTTATGCTTGACTAGATATGGACTCCATGCAGGAGCCGCATGCTCCAAGATTGGTCTGACATATGTGGTATATAATGTTCTGAAAGATTCCTTACATAAGTTTCTTAAGGCCGTTCTTATGTTAGCCAACCTGGCATATGCTGCTGATGTTATCCTCTTGATATGAGCTTCAGGGGACAGGTCTGGCGTGATATCAACCCCCAGGTCTTTCTCTCTCTCTGACTCTTGAAGTATCTCATCCCCCAAATGATACTTTGTATCTGGTCTCCTGCTTCTTACCCCCTATCTTCATTACATTACATTTGCTTGGGTTAAACTCTAACAGCCATTTGTTCGACCATTCCTGAGGCTTGTCCAGGTTTTCTTGAAGCCTCAAGCTGTCCTCCTCTGTCTTAATCCTTCTCATAACTTTCGCGTCGGCAGCAAACATCGAGAGGAATGAGTCTATACCCTCTGGGTGATCATTTACGTATATCAGAAACAGGATAGGTCCAAGTACAGAGCCCTGTGGGACTCCACTGGTGACTTCACGCCATTCTGAGGTCTCACCCCTCACTGTAACTCTCTGCTTCCTATTGCTTAGGCACTCCCTTATCCACTGGAGCGCCCTACCAGTTACTCCTGCCTGTTTCTCTAGCTTATGCATCAACCTTTTATGGGGTACTATGTCAAAGGCTTTCCGACAGTCCAAAAAAATGCAGTCCGCCCATCCTTCTCTTTCTTGCTTAATCTTTGTCACCTGATCGTAGAATTCTATCAAGCCTGTAAGGCAAGATTTACCCTCCCTGAACCCATGTTGATGGATTGTCACGAAGTCTCTTCTCTCCGGATGTGTTACTAGGTTTTTTCTCACAATCTTCTCCATCGCCTTGCATGGTATACTAGTTAAGGACACTGGCCTGTAGTTCAGTGCCTCTTGTCTGTCACCCTTTTTGTATATTGGTACTACATTAGCAGTCTTCCATTAGCAGTCTGTGTGTGTGTGTGTGTGTGTGTGTGTGTGTGTGTGTGTGTGTGTGTGTGTGTGTGTGTATACTCACGTAGTTGTACTCACCTAATTGTGCTTGTGGGGGCTGAGCTCTGGCTCTTTGGTCCCGCCTCTCAACCGTCAATCGCCTCTCAACCATTTGAAACTGTGTATGGAGTCAGCCTCCACCACATCACTTCCTAGTGCATTCCATTTATTAACTACTCATTTACTAACTATTCATTTGCTAACTACTACTACATTTACGACTCATTTATTAACCATTTACTAACTAGTGTGTGTACTCACCTATTTGTGCCAGCGGGGGTTGAGCTTTGGCTCTTTGGTCCCGCCTCTCAACTTTCAATCAACTGGTGTACAGATTCCTGAGCCTACTGGGCTCTATCATATCTACATTTGAAACTGTGTTTGGAGTCAGCCTCCACCACATCACTGCCTAATGCATTCCATCCGTTAACAACTCTGACACTGAAAAAGTGTCAGATACAAATAGTAAACAAATAGTAAAAAACACACACAGGTGTTGCTTGCGGCTGAGTGGACAGTGCAGTGAGAGCTAACGTTTTGGCCACGCCGTCAAGGGCCGCTAGGGGTCGCCCAGGTGCCAGCGGCATGTGTGATACATGCAGGAAACCTGGCACCCTTGGGCATATCTCACAAGCATGCCCAAGGACGCACGGAGCACGGGTGGTACGTCATGACGATATCACCCGGTTCGTAGCTGGTCGTCTTAGACAGCGAGGGTATGAGGTGGTGAGGGAGGTGCGGATACCCGATGGTGGGACCTTTTACAAGCCAGACATCATTGCTTGCAATAGTAACGAGGCCATAATCCTAGACACCCAGGTCTCGGCTGACGGCTTTCCATTCTCTCGGCCACACCATAGCAAATGTGACCGGTATGGCACCCCCGAGATCCTTCAATGGGTCAGGGATTACACCGGTGGTAATGCAGTCTCTGCCTCTTCAATTACCTTGAATTGGAGAGGCGGGTTCAGCATTTAGAGTGCCCGTGTTAAGAGGTTGGGCTTGACCAACGGAGATTTGGAGATCTGCTCCGTAAAAGCCCTAACCTGGACGTACGCGATTTATCGTATGTGGTCCAAGAGCACGGGAAGAGGTTGATAATGATCACCCCTGGACATGGGGGGCACAAGGGAAGTCCACCCGACACCCAGAAGCAACTAGGGTGAGTGGACTCCGGCTTAGTTTACCGGACGTCATCTTGGGGTACCACTTCCCCAGTGGCTGATTTAGGAGATGGTGGGTGGCTTGACCGAACCCGTGAGAGGATAAGCTACGGCTGGAGGGACACATGCGTGCATGTTCTCTGCCTCTCCGGGGACTTGACTTGTTTCAAGCCAGGCATGTCCTCCCCGAGATATCTTTTCCATGCACGTATGCCATTAGAAGGTGATCGTCTCCTCAGGAGACGTTATTCATTCATTCAGTGACATGCCTATTTTATTTTGTTTCATATATTTTAATGTACATCTTTTTTATGCATCTCCAGGTACATTTTTCTTTGTTTTGTACACAGTAGGCCACAACATGAATTTTAGTTTAGTTGTAATGTGTTTTTAGGGTTACTGCTGCGGGGCCTCGCGGCCCATGCCTTGTGGCTGGGTCGTGGGGCTCTATAGCTAGATCAAAACCCCCCCCCCCCCGAAGTGGCAAGGGGAGTAAAAGGGGGGAACAGGTTGATGGATGTAAGTGATGGCCCAGGTTACATAAAGGTATAGGGAAATTTAAACGTAAATAAAATACAAGAAATAAGTATAAGTGATTGAAAATTCTGTGTTGGAAATGTTTTTATTCCATAACAAAACATCTTCAATAACAAAGATGGCCGCCACCACGGGAAGTTAAATACACCAGCAGATGATTGTTTCAAAGGATTCACGCCACTAGATATAATGAATAGAAGTTTTCTTGGCAGATTAAAGATTATTAAGGATATGCTAAAGAAGCATGAATAAAAAACCCTTGAGGCGATGAATCACAATAACGTGGCTAAAGTATGTTGACCAGACCACACACTAGAAGGTGAAGGGACGACGACGTTTCGGTCCGTCCTGGACCATTCTCAAGTGATTGACAATCGACTTGAAGGCCATGCCGTCCGTACCTGTCGGTCACTGCCTCGCCGCAAATACACCTGTATTCGGTGTGGATTGGGGCTAAAAGACAGAGAGCCACAGCAATTCGGAGGGACTGCAGTATGAGATACTTGCCTGTTACTGACATTGGGGTTGCTAATTAGAAGTCACCTGCATGGGCAGCTGCTACAGCCCTAAGTCGGGCATTGTCATGGGGTGTTGTCGCAGCTCTAGGCATGTTGCAGCTGCTTGGTCAACAATGGGGCGATGCCAGCTGGATTGGTTGAGAGCTTCAGAAGGTGGTGGTTGGAGTGCTGGTCCTGCAAAAAGAGACCCATTTGGTGGTGAAGACCGTAAAGCTGGGATCATGTGCCCCTGCCTGTTGACCTAGGTACTCAGGTAGGATTTCCTTCACCAAATTGTCAACTGCCACTGAAGAGGACAGGAACGCCGGTACAGCAATTTGGGGTGCTGAGCGGACGCCGAGGCCCCCCAAGTCTGACAGGAAGGGAAGCTTGTTTCCACGGAGTCGCTGAGAGAAAGGTTGGGGGGCTTTTTCTAATACAGATTTCAGCTGGCGGCCATACTCATCTAATTAAATATTATTGAAAGATGGCGAACATATAAGAA